TTTGGCAAAATATTCTTTGTAAGTGTGATATATAAATATTAAAAATACTTAAAATATTTTATATCATTTATAAAAGAATCTTAAATATTCTATATTATTCACAAATAATGTTTGAAGCTACCTAAATTCTTCTCAACTTCCCGTAAGAAAAACATGTCTAAAAATTCTTTAATTAACCTCCATATATGTATATATGTAGAGAGAGAAAATGTGTAAAAAAATTTATACAAATAATATTTAAAAGTATCTAAAATATTCGTAATTAGACAGGTGAAATTTAGATTTTAAAAAAAAAATCTAAATAGATAATAGATTTATAGTAGTAATTAGACTTTTATTTATTTATCTTTAAAGTTGTTATGATAGATGAGGGATGTGATATTTTTTACTCATGGATATGAAAATTTGTAAGCTGAGTTATGAAATTTTCTTAAATTCGTCTATATTTATGCAATGAGTTTTTTGAGCTGGGTATATAGATTTAAAATTATTAAAAAAAACTTTCATAAATCATTTGATTTTGTATTTTCAGAGAGCTTCATTAATTTAAAAGTGTAAAATAAATAAATAAAAAAGGTACAACTGAAAAAGTTACCACCAATTGTATGAAGAATTAAACTAAATCCAATTTTGTAGGATAAATTGAATATTGATTAGATTTTATATGTAAAATAAAATAAAAATAACTAGAATAGTTTTACATGTTGCAATATTTTTATATTTAAAAAAAATTAAAAAATCTTTTTTTAAGTGTTGCATACCAACATTCTAGGAACTAGATTGATATTTCTAAATTAATATTTCATACCCAATATTTTAGGAACTAATTAAATGCTAATTTGATTTGCATACCGAAAATATTAGATGCATTAATTAAATACTTGATAAAATTAAAAATTCATTTATTAAGTTTGACTTTTCTAACTACTATATTTAGCAAATAGGATCCCCTTTAATATTAGTATACATACATCCAATAAGGGTCAGTTTGGTTGGGCATACGGGCTTGATATCCTCAAAATTGATATTATATCCACACGTTTAACTTGTTTGGTTGAGCATGAAAAAGCCCATGATATGGTCATGGCCCGGTTTTATTTCCATTATTTTTGGTATTGTGTATCCCATCTCTAGGGGCGGATGCCATATCAAGGCGTTTAAGGTGGTTGGTTAAAATGTCTATTTTACCCCTTCTTAAATATCAAAATTCATAAAAAAAAATTCACTCGCTTTTCATTTGTCCTCGTCCCAAGCGGCACAAACCCTAACGGAAGAGACGAACACCCGACTGCTCCCAAGATTTGTTGATCTTTGTTTTTTAGATCCGCCGTATGGTGTTCTTAGATCTATTCATCTTTAAGTTTATTATCTTCTTCCTCATCAATTCATCAATCGCGGCGGGTCACGAAGGACGAAGAGGAGATGTCGAAGTCTGCCCTATCGACATTTAGGGCCAAGGAGGAAGAGATCAAGAAGAATAAGTTGAAGGTCAAGGAAAAACCTCAGGCTCAGATGGGTCAGATTGACGAAGAGATAAAGTGATTGGTTAATATTCGAGAGGTATTTTCTGATTTTTTTTTCCTTTTTTCTATTCGTGTTCTGATTATTTTCGTTGTTTAGTGATGTGTTTTCCTGCTGTGATTCTAAGGTATTTTGTGAAATTTCTAGAGCGAAACTTGAGGTTTTGGTTACAGTATGCGCCTGTTGTGTATGCATGTGTTCATAGAAAAAGGTTGTAATGTTTTTGAATTTTCATTACAGATCTTAAAATTGCAGAACATTTCAAATTCTAAGTTCTGCTTCTAGAATGTAATTTTCTAATAATTTGATTCATATTGCTTTTGAATTATTTAGTATGTATTTGGACCCAAATGATTGAATAAAATGTGAGTTATGTAAATTCTCTTTATATGTTCCAAAATTTTATCCAATATATGTTTCTTTATGACTGCTCAAAAAATGGGCACTTCAAGTTAATAAGAAAAATCCACTTCTAAAAATAATTTGTATTCTTGTCATTGTTATAATAAGCTTGAACTGGTTTGTGTTACAGTCACTTATATAAACTAAATAAGACTTGTAACTGCTCCATCTAGGAGTAAGGTCTCTGAAGATAGTGTTGTATATTTTGATGCAATGTGCATTGGAGTTTCTACTTATGACACTTGAGTTGGTGATTCAATCATGGTCTTACCTAAAGAGACAATGTCTGTAGATGTAAGTTTTTTTTCATTTCGGGTTAACTATATGAAAAAAATTAAAAGGTAATTCATGGTGCCAACACCTTGTGTTATACCACCATTCTCTGCTTGTCTTACTTCTATTTTAGCAGAGCTAATGTTAATCAATACTTTTCATGTCGAGTACCTTTCAGTTATTCAAGCATTAAAACCGCATTAAAATCTGATACTATGAAGTAAATGCTCTATGGTATGAATAATGAGGATCACAAATCAGACCACTAACTGAATACCTAGGATGATATTGAGGATGTTTTCATGTTCCCCATGCAGTTCATAAGTATACCGATTTAGTATTGTTATATTTCCCCAGCATCATAACAGTACCTCATGAAATTCTTATATCAAGTTATGAAATCCTTGCATCATTTTATGTAGTTGCCATCTTCCCTTGGAATTTATTTTTGAACATTTTCGGGTCCATTAAATTTGGTTTCACTTACCATAATTGTTCAACCTGGCCTGGTGCATATTTTTTAGGCTGCAAAAAGCTCTACAAGCTGAATCTCTCGAACTGCGAGATTTATGCTTCTTGCTAGCCATGCTCTATGTGCTTTGATGCCATCCATCTTTTCAGAATCAAGGTCGGGTGCTCAAGTTAATTTTCTATATCGAACGTTATTATTTTAATTTACCAATTTTTTTGCTAATCGTAAACTTAAGATAAACCTCCCAATTTCTTCTAGAGATTAGTTTATGGAGCTAAAGCAGAAGCTGCAATTGCTATCAGTTTTGAAGACTTCATTGTTGATGCACTTAGAAGAACCGGTTTCTATCAAAAGGCTGATTTAAATCTCAAAAGAGATGGCACCAACGATGCCGTGATTGCAAACCAAGTGTTGGTTGTAAATTAGTGAATGTATTTTAGTTTAATTTTCTTTTTAATTTTTTTTTGTATATATAGCAGAATATTTTTCGACAAGTGTTAATGTTATACAGAGTAGAGAATTATTAATGTGATAATGTTTATATTTATTTTTATTTTGTTCTAATATATTTTTCATCCCTTATTTTCCATGTAGTTTGTTTTATTATTTTTTTTCTACAATTTATGTTTCTTTTACTTTTTTATTCTTTACTACATTGGTTTA